TAATATCTGAAATGATACATATAAAAATGCAAAGACAAGGCATTAATAAACAAAATGATACGGAAGCTTTACCATACTTACAGATAATAGAATCACTTTCCACGTCATAATCACGTCTCCCTCTTAATTATTCCCCTTCACTCTCACATATCTCCTTCTTTTAACACAATTTTCCCCCCTCCATGTTTTTTTTTAAAATTGTTCGTTTTGACAATATCGGGTATGATTCTTTGAATGTCATAACGACTGAAGGCATTGACTGAAGGTGTTAACAACATTTAATTCCGGTCGTTTTTGCTTATAATTGTTTCAAAAAATTTTATTGTAATTTGTGAAAGGGACCATCAATATGAAGGTATTTTATTTATTGTACTAAATGAAATGTTTTAATATAATATCTCTGTGATTGGTGTATATTTTAATTGTAATTAATTTTATAAAGCAATATCTATATGAGATATTATATCTACTATAATTTGCAACTATTTTATAGAAACAATATATGTGGTTACAACAAATGGAACTTTCGATATTTGAATTTCTCAAGATCTGACTAATATTCATTTTTATGGAATATTACAGTGTGATCCGGATATATTAACATGCAATCAAATTCTTTGTTTTCTTCGACTCAACGAATTATTCTTGTATTATAACATTGAGAATGACCCGATCGAGGTTGAAACGTATGATATCATATATATTTTTACATTTTTCTTTTATTACTCTGTTGTTACTTGTGGCGACTAATTATATGCTAAACTTGCGTTGATATATTTATATTCTTATTACCATTACCAACGTTATATTTTAATTTTTGGCTGGTAGCCCTCTAATGTGATAGTAATTTATAATTTATTGAGCCTTATCACTCTTATTAATAAATATAATACAAGATGTTTATTAAATATAAATATGATTCAAGAAAGTCGAAAAGAAAATGCTAAAAGTTAAAAGGGATAATAATGTAATTAATTTTTTTTGCAAATAGGAGAGTTAAGAACTATTGAAATAAGTTAATGTGAAAGTGAACGAGTTTTTAAATATAAATAATAATCTCTTTTTTATACTTTTTCATTCACTTATCGGTACAGGATATTGAAATAATCACGCTTCATTGTTCTTTTTTTATGTTTTCTGCTTTATACAGCAAGATGTGGATCCATCAACAGTATAACAGTTTTTTAAATCGCGTCCTACTCAACCACGTACTTACACCAAACGACGAGATGATTAAAAAGATGTACAAAGTGTTTCAATCAAAATTAATTTACAATATATTTATAGAAAATATAAAATTTCATCCAGAAATTATAAATATGAGTTAGAAGCTGCATTCGATGTTAAATTTTTTTCGTTTAGCTCTGTTATTATATTAAAGTTGTTTTCTCATATGTCTTCAACATATGCATAATATTTTCTCATTTTAATTTGAAATTAATTTAAAATGTATTTATTAAATATATAAGACTTTTGATAAAGAAATTATAAATATGAATCAGAAACTATATTATGAATCTACGCTGTTAAATTTAATTTTAATCACTTTTATAGATCGTCGCAGCTCCTACTCAGTTTTGAGTGGTTACCCCCTCGCGTATGCGTTAATATGGTTATTGTTTTTTTTTGAACTATAAGTCACATAAGTGGATTGATTTATATTTTTGAAAAGTTAAAAATAATAAAATGTTATTGAAATTCATGGGATGGAGCTATGGTTACTTCTTTGATATCTAATAATGTATCGAATAGTTGCATTTAAGATAATGTCAAGAATACGGAGTCTCATCATCGCGCCCTCAGGAAAAACGCCTGTGCATCTTCGACACGGAGCAGACGATATTGTAACTGGTGGAAGAACGCAGAAAACTTAAATTTAAACGTGATTCATGTCCACCATCCGACCAATAAATCCCTTTTGAATCGACACACGCGAGATTCAAATTACGTAACGTAATAAAACCGCACAAATCTTACTACCCTTCTGGAAGATATTGTATTCGTTACTTTCCGTGTCGGATGTTACAGCGTAACTTCTAAAAACATATCTTCATATTATGTATTAAACTTGTAATATCAAATTTATTATATAATATTATACCATTATAACCAATTTGAGTTATTTTCAATCATTTCTGTAAGTCGTTACTATTCCTCAATATGGCATAATTTAACTAAATCATGAAGTTACACGAATTTACTTAAGAAATGTATTAAATCTAGCTCAAATTTCATTTATTATTTATATGTACTAATAAATATGTACATTAATATAAGTGTTATTAACTCTCCTAAACTAAACGATTTAAACATATAAATGGTTTAATTTACAGTTTGACACACGAAAGTTAAAAACAATAAAATGTTAGTTTATTAAATGTTATATTTTTTATATTTTTCACCGTGCGAGATAAGAGAGGGGGGAAGAAAGAGGCCTTTAATAAAGAATTCTGTAGACAGTTTGCGGTAGTCTGGGAATGTTGCTCAAAGTGAAGGTAAACTCTTGCGGCGGAGCGCCGCACCATAAGCCCGAGGAGCCGAACCTGACGCGGGAAAGCAGGAAAACCAAGAGAAACCAGAATTCATGGTCGACGAGGTGATCTCTTGTGGTGTATCCAAGTTGTTTGCAAGAGCTGCTGGCGATATTCTCTCGCAACCTATGCATCCCAACAAGACAATCTACTAAACCTTTATGCGGTTCATATCTATATGGTTTTAATTGCACGGCGTGTCTAAAAAAAGAACAAGGCATCCTGATACTTCTTTTGCTCGATAAGAATATTACCCCGTAATATAGTGGCTTCTATGTCGTTAGGGTTCAGATTTAATGCCTGAGCGATAAGAGTATTTGCTGTGCTGAACTTTCTAGCGGCAAACAGGGAATATACTATTGCTACGTAAATTCTGCAGGTACATTTATTGTTACTAGTTATCGCTGGTATTGGCCGTTCCAATTCTTTAACGTGGTGCATTTTGTATAGAACTGCAGCATACATGTCCACCCTGTAGAGAAGTAACAAATAACTACTCTTTTACAATACATATAAATAAATATCTAAATAAATGTGTGTGAAGACTTACCTTTTTGTTATATCGGGCTCAATTACACGGGCTAACCTCATACACAATAGAGCATTCTTATCATCACCCGCATAATAATTACACTCGCCCATGATAGTCAATAGATTGAAATTATCCCTAAGCAAAACAACAATGTCCAATGACCTTAGAGTGTTCACGGCATGAGTGTATTCTCTATTATGAATATATGCATGAGCCTTGGTCCATGTATCAAGCCATTCCAAGTTCATTGAGTTCGAGATGGAGCCTACAATCAGAGAATTGACCTCCCACACCCTTTACTCCTAAAGAAAGGAGATCTTTAGCTGCTTCTAAAGCCAGTGGACATTCTTTCAACATTTCTTTGTATGTGATAATGGACCGTACCATTCCTTGCTCATGGAACATCTTGGCTAGTGCCATGTTTACTTTGGCAGTACGCTGCTTGCCAGGGATACTCTGTAGCACTTGCAAACCTTCTTGCAGATTCTTGGATTTAACTAGGCATAAGTGCATCTTGATATTTGATGTTGACATCCGACGGCAGATACTTCTGTCGATCGAATAAAAGCTTCCCTGTACCTTTGGACTTTAACAGACACTTACGAAACTGCAGAGCCTTCTTGTTAAAAGTCCCTGCTCTGCGATATTTGCCTAGATAAAAATGAGCATCCGCGTAATAAACATGTACGTGAAACTTCGTGTAGCCAGGTAGCAAGCCAGCATTGTGTTCGCTGAGAGAGAACACCAAGTTCATTAGAGAGATAACGTTGCAATAAAGTGCCTGATCGTAAAGCAGCTTGATCTGCTCGAATAATCCTGACATGGTTAATTCTTTTTTGAAATAAAATTGGCTTTAGATTGCTAACACAGATTACAAACTGTGTGATAATAGTGTCAAAAGGAAGCGTGAGATTCCTAAAATTTCACAGCCTTTAACATCACAAAAACACCAAATCTTACAAAAAATCATTATTCCTATCTTCAATTAAATACTCAATTTTCTGACTCTGCATTTTTAAACTGGCACTAGGACGACGTGAGCGTTCGTTTTTGTTGGAAATATTCTTTCAAAATATATTGTTTTTAAGTTTTTATGTTCCACCAACAACACGATGTTAAATATAACCTGAAAACAATTCGGAGCGTTGGAAGCGATGTGCAGCGATGAGCGAAATGCTTGTACGATAGACCGACAGAGAACGTTGCGGTATGCTGCGCATACTTCAATACAAATGCGAACTGATTACAGAGCGCTGTTTATGTTTTCCAAGAATAATTTAATTTGCATCGTTTATTTTATACGATATTTTCATATCTTAGAAACCGGATTTAAAAGATTTCTAGTAAAATAGCTTCTGTTGATAATTTCCATAATTGCGCGTTTTCATAATAAAAAAAATGGTCAGCAAATATACCGATTCGAAATTACCTCATTTAATTTTTTTTATTTTTGCAAAGATGCAAAATCCAATAGCGCTTACTGTCCACTTTTGTCACTGTAGATTAACTTTAAAATCGATTTAATTTACTCGTAATCTTTTTTTAATCCTTAGAATTAGAAGAAAATAAAAAAGTAAATAACAAGTAAGAGATAAACGTAACTAGGTCATGTTTCAAAATGCACTAACATTACTGAAAATATATAGTTCAAGTCACGTATACTATAGGTTTTTAGTACTCGCAGCACATATTGAGACACAACTGAAGCAGTAGAACGTGATTGGTATTTACCTTTAAATTCAACCAATCATATAAAATTGTAATAGCGAGGTGAGGTTTTTGTTTAAACACCTGAGCATATGCGACTTTTTGAGCTGCAAAGTAGAACCAGAATTTAGTTTCGATCGTTATAAATCAATTAAAAAATACATTTTAAAACAGAAAAACATGCAGCGGGAAGGTAAGTTTTGTCTTTCGCTTTAATTGATCTTCATGTCGTGATTTTCATGCGAAACTTGTAGAAAACATTGGAGCAAGCACGCAAAGCAGAGGCAAGTTCATCGATGCAATGATCGCACAATGGAGGAACCAAACAGGGAACAATGATGGATTACAGCAAACGGAAGAGGTACGAATTGTTACAAACAGCTCAAGAGTAATTTCTGTAATGATAACTTCAATCAAACTCTAATTAACTTACTCGTGAATAGAATTCTTAATTTTTTTTATTTGATACCGTAGGAAAAATTAAATACAGACATAATGAATTATACAGCTTGAAACTTTATTTTATTGTGCTTTCTCCCGATTAAATTATTCGCCGCTAAGTTGATTCAAGTTTGATCGAAGTTGCTCTATAATAAGCAAGGAAAGTAATTTTTCATGAACATTTCGTGGAAGTAACAGGTGAATGAAGGTTCCTGCACACATGATGACAAGCAGCAAGACTTGCAGTGTAAGGACCGTACAATCAAAAGTCTAAGACAAAAACTGAAGGAGAGCCAGGAGGCGCAGGCCTCTTTGTCCACCTCCTTGGAGATAGACACGTGTAACAAGGAAGAGGTCACAGCAAAGTAAGCCTCGTTTCTTTCTTCTTTCATTTTTGTCGTAACACGAATCTCTCTTATATATTCTGCGACTTGGCTTTCTTTTTTGGCAACAACAGACTGAACGTAACTTCGCCATACATCGAGAATATCGCGGAATATATGAATTACATCAGTGAGGTCACTGCCAATTATGAGCAACGCCGCGTTAGTTTATCCACCTTATTCGACGACGTGATTCTAAAGCAACAAGAAATTATCCAGATGCTGCAACAGAATGAGGCGAAATCGAAAGGCACACTTTCACATATATGGAAAATGTTTGAATCTTAATTTTAGGCTCATTATCATAAACAATTAATTCTATAATAATTGCAGATATTGAGAACCGTGTTGCAAAATTGAAAAATGAATTGCGGCTTCAAAAGGAAAGGTATGATTTTTGTTATACTTCTGATAGCTTATCGCGTAAACAAATATTTTTATCAAAATTGTTTTTTGAATCAGATTTCAAGAGGAGTCGGCAGAACTAAATAAATTGCGGAAGCAATTGGAAAATTCTGAAAACAAGCTGCAAAGTCAGAGGAATGAATTGGCGAATAAACATGCTGAGGAAAAGTTGATGCTCGTCAAAGTATGTTGACAGTTTTTAAAGAGATCTCACGATTTTTTTCCGTAATTTATTTTGAATGACTTTTCTAATTTAGGAACAACAACGGTTGTTATCGGAATGCGAGAATTTACAATCGCGACTGCAGACGACCGAGAAAGAGAAACGCGACATCGCGAAGTCTGCCGCACAAGTGGAAAATAAATTGCTACTTCAAGAAGAGAAGTAAGTTATCGCCCCACACCCAATAAATTGCACGAACATAATAGTGTTAACTAAGCAATTTTTTTAGAATGCAGGAAGTACTGATGGAGAAAAACAAATGGCAAGAGCAAGTAAATGACGTCGAGCGGAAATTCCATTCACAGAAAAATGAATTAGTGAGCGCACACGCTAAGGAAAAAACATTGTTCATTGAAGTACGTTAAAAAGAAATTGTAAAAGATTTTTTCACCCCTCTTCTTTTTTTTATTAATGTTGTAAGTTTAATATCTGTTTTAGGAACAGCAGCGACTAGAATCAAAATTCAAAAGTTTACAATTACAACTGAATACACTAGAACAAGATAAGAACAATATTACGGAAATGATCGCGCAAAAGGATACACTTGTCTCCAAATTACAGAATGAAATCTCCATGTATAAGTGAGTATTTATATTAATCAAGTTTGATGGAGTTTTGAAAATAAAAATATCTTTTAGATTGTGTGCTCTATCGTTAAAATTATTAAGACTTGAGTAATTCGTTTTTTTTTATAACAGAAATGAAATCGAGGAGATAATGACAAGAAATAATAAAATGACTGCTGAGAGAACAACATCACTGAAGACGCAAAATATGCTGGAGAATGAATTACGTATAAAAACGGAAAAAGTAAAACAAATTATGTACAGACTCGTTCAACAATTTTGATTTTTATAATATTAGTCTTTACTAATTCAATATTATTTTCTAGATTCAGGATTTAGAGATGACGTTACACTCATTGAAACTAAGGGAGACAGGTTTCATCAATGACGTAAACAGAATAGAAAAAAAATTAAGTAGTGAAATAGATTATTCCAAGAATCTCGAAAATAAGCTTTCGAACGCTCAGAAAGATTTGCAACTCGCACAAAAGCAAAACGCTGAAATGCAAAAGATTCTGGACAAAACTAAGAGCAGTAACGAGTTTTCTATTAACACGCTTCAACATCAACTAAAAACTCTTCAGAAGGAAAAAGAAATTATAACACGAGAAAGCACAAGAGTTAATGTAATAAACGAAAAATTTAATGTAATAAAATTTTCTTAGTCTGCGGTATTTAAAAAGTTTATCGAATTTTTATTTTTTGAACTCTTTTAGAATGCAGAAAGTTTGTATGAAAAATCATACATAAATCAAGCTGACCAACAGAGTATCAGTTTTAAAGAGCTCTTACGAAATACAATCAGTCGAGTTAAAAAATGTTATAAATTATCAAAATAACATGACCAATGACATCAAGAGAGAGTATACAAGCAATATATGCTGAACAAGTTCTTGACGGAAACAAGAACGGACAATGACAGATTAAAGAATAATCATAAGTTTATTATTGTAGGCGCGTGACAAAGAAAAATATCTGGGCACTGCACTTTTCAAACCTATAAGTCCTTGACGAAAATGTAATTGTTCTTTAGAACCGTTATTTTTTCGGCATGCTTTGATGATTCATACAAACTTTCTACAAGAGTTCAGGAAATTAGAATTAAAAAAAATTTTTTTCAATATGAGTTTGAAATTTTATTAATATGTTGAATTTTTCTTGTTTGTCAGATTTCTAACGCGAGTTTACTGGATAGCGATGAAGACAGATCATCGTCAGAGAAACCGATTCGTACATCTTTGACAAAGAGACAAAATCAGGACAAGGTATAGATGTTTATACGTTATTGAATATAAATATAATACAAGAAAGTCAAAAAAAATGCTAGAAGTTGAAAGGGATAATAATATAATGAACGTTTTTTTGCAAATAGGAGAGTTAAGAACTACTGAAATAAGTGAAAGTGAGAGTGAATGAGTTTTTAAATATATAATAATCTTATTTATCCTTTTTCAATCACTTATCGGTTCAGGATATTGAGATAATCACGTTTCATTGATCTTTTTTTATGTTTTCTGCTTTATATAGCAAGATGTGGGTCCATCAATAGGAAAAAAGTTTTTTAAATCGCGTCCTGCTCAACCACGTACTTACACCAAACGACGAGATGATTAAAAAGATATACAAAGTGTTTCAATCAAAATTAATTTACAATATATTTATAAAAAGTGTAAAATTTCATCCAGAAATTATAAATATAAGTTAGAAGCTGCATCCGATGTTACATTTTTTCGTTTAGCTCTATTATTATATTAAAGTTGTTTTCTCATATGTCTTCGACATATATAGAATATTTTTTCATTTCAATTTGAAATTAATTAAAAATGTATTTATTAATTACATACGATTTTTGATCAAGAAATTATAAATATGAATCAGAAATTGTATTATAAATCTACGCTGTTAAATTTATGTCAATTTAAATTATTATTTTTAATCACTTTTATAGATCGTCGCAGCTCCTACTCAATATATCATTATAATTCAATTAAAATAATGAAATTACACAATTTAACTCAAGAGAATTTATTAAATTTAATTCTTTAGTTTACATTACTAATAAAAAGCGTATACGTTAATATGGATATTGTTTATTTTGAAAATATAAGTCACATAAATGGATTGATTTATGTTTTCGAAAAGTTAAAAATAATAAAATGTTATTCAAATTCAAGGGATGGTTATCGTTACTCCTTTGATATCCAGTAATGTATAGAATAGTTGCATTTAAGATAATGTCAAGAATACGGAGTCTCATCGCGCTCTCAGGAAAAACACCTACGCACCTTCGACACAGAGCAGACGATATTGTAGCTAGTGGAAGAACGCAGAAAACTTAAATTTAAACGTGATTCATCGGTCCACCATCCGACCAATAAATGATCCCCTTTGAATCGACATATGCGAGATTCAAATTACGTAACGTAATGAAACCGCGCAAATCTTACTGTCCTTCTTGAAGATATTGTATGCGTTACTTCCCGTTTCGGATGTTACAGCCTACTTCGCAACTTCTAAAAACATATCTTCATATTATGTATTAAATTCGTAATATCGAATTTATCATATACGTTATACTATTATAACTAATTTGAGTTATTTTTAATCATTTCTGTAAGTCTCTACTATTCCTCAATATGTCATAATTTAATTAAATTATGAAAGTTAAACGAATTAACTTAAGAAATGTATTAAATCTAACTCAAATTTCATTTATTATTTATATGTACTAATAAATGTGTACATTAATATAAGCGTTATTTACTCTCCGATACTATACGATTTAATCATATAAATGGATTAATTTACAGTTTGACGAAAATTAAAAACAATAAAATGTTATTTAACTCAAGGGACTGAGTTCATTCCTCTTACAATATCTAAAACGTGTACAGTAATTTTAATTTTTCCCGATTGATTTATTATAAGATCGTCTTGCAGGAGCAAAGTTTGATATTCTTTGAATTCTTCCAAGCGCTCTCGCCTATATTAGTCCATTATATATTAGCGATGAACTTTTAAAGCCTCGTCCTCGGAATGTCTATAATTTTCCGTATTTTCCCTATCTTGCGTTCGCACGACAGGCGAGTATCTGCCGCAAAATCTGGATCGCGCAATAATAACCCGAGCCATATGACAGAGAACTATTTAAAAGTAGCACGTCCCACTTTCCACGAGGGCGACCGTATTTTTTTTTCCTTCTGTGTCAGGACCTCGACATGTTGCCTACGCCCTATAGTGATGAGTTATGTGCTGGAATATGCAATATAATCAGACTAAGAACAACGCGAACTGTTGTACTCGAACAAGTCAGACGATCTTAGATTTGACATTTCTGTATCCCAATAAGGATCCATTCTGGTCTTTCTGATTTTAACTTCTGCAATGACATATAATATAAAGAATCTCCCTTCTTATTTGTTCATCGTTCATTCCTCATCATTTCTTGATTCAAATTGGAATATACGCAATTTCGAATTTATATAAAAAAAAAGAAATTTCAGATAATTTTACACTGAGAAAAAATTTTAATAAATATTTGTTTAAATCGTTCTAAATAAAAATTTACTTATTTGATGCAAAAATCATTAATTTGACTCGACTATCTTTTTTTTTATTAAATAAATATTTATTTACTGTAAATGAATGTTTACGATTCAAAGAAATAAAATTTAGTAAATTTGTTTTCAATGTGACTGCTCCATCAGATAATTATGAGATCAGTGAAAAAATCAAAATATTCTCTTGCATTTTTATAGATATTGGAATCGACATCTGAGATCCTTAACAGTTATTTTATTACATTGGCTCGTTTTAATAAAAGGTAGCCAACAAAACAGTGACTTATTCATGCGAATTTTGTTTCGGCTATTTACCGGATGTTATAATCATTACTAAGTTGCCCAATTTTCACACAGCAGCTGCGCGTCTCTGCGATTTCGGAAAACCTATTTCTCGTTTAACTGAATAAGCCGCTAATATTAGAATACCGAAACGTGTGGAATCACGCACGCTTGCGTCGCTTATACGGGGTGTCGCATCAACGATGTGGAACATGGGAAAAAAGTATCTCCGATAGTATCTCGTTTATCGATTACCAAGTCAATGAAGAAGAAAATATTATATCAAGAAAGCCTTGAAGGTACATCCAGTCGACATGAATATAATGACGAGGAATCTTCGACTGCGATTTTCCCTGGAAAATTCCGACGAAACATTTTTTTCGTCAGAATGTTTCTTAGGACACCCCGTATACAACCCTCTTACGTTGTTGGACGGATTTCTCCCCTGACTTGGCCCACGGTGGTTCCATACTCCTCCGAAATGTATAAAAAGCCACGTCTAGAAGCCGCGGCACTTCAGTCTTTTCAAAAATATCATAAGGATGGCTCTAGAACGTCAAGTGCGCGCTAAGGTATATATTAATTTATATACACATACAATATTTCAATTGTGTAGTGTAATCCGTTCCGATCCGTTTACGGTCATGTGTATCATATAGTGATCTATTCTTCCGAGTTCTTTATTTTCTTAACTTTTAAACAGAAAGAAGCAAATTGCTTGATAATACCTAACAAAACATGCATTTTTCTCGAAAGCAATGTGTTCTTTGAAACGTTCTGAAATACTTAGTATCATGGAATTCTATCGATCCATTGGAGATTCGAGATCTACGAATTTCCCTAATAATCCTTTTCTGCTAAACAACAGTATGTTAGAATTTTGACATACGCGCATAATTTTGCACAGATTGCGGCGAAACGCAACCCCGAACAGGAGAAGGAGGCACAGGAATGGATCGAATCGATCCTTGGTAAGAAGTTTCCTCCTGGTGAGACCTTTGAAGAGGTGCTCAAGGATGGTCAGGTCTTGTGCCATTTGATGAACAAGATTTCTCCTGGATCCGTACCAAAGATCAACAGTACCGGTGGACAATTCAAGATGATGGAAAACATAAATTTGTGAGTGATGGCTGGCGAGATATTTGTACCGATTGTACATTATATGATGACATTGAATATGTTACAGGTTTCAAAAGGCGTTAAAGGACTACGGGGTGGACGACGTCGATGTTTTCCAGACCGTAGACTTATGGGAAAAGAAAGATGTAGCCCAAGTAGTAACGACATTGTTCGCGCTCGGCCGAACAGTACGTTTCTTTGTCCTTATTATCATTAATTTTTATACAAATTTTGCAATAATTTTTTTTATATAGTAAATAATTTTGACTGATATAATTATTGTCGAAATAAAAAACATGTATATCTCTGTTCGTTTAGACATACAAGCATCCCGAATGGAAAGGACCTTATCTAGGACCTAAGCCATCAGACGAATGCAAACGTGATTTTACAGAGGAACAATTGCGAGCTGGTCAGGGAATGATTGGTCTTCAAGCGGGTTCCAACAAGGGTGCGACTCAGGCAGGCCAAAGCATCGGTGCCACTCGCAAAATTCTTCTTGGAAAGTAAATTAAAACTTGGCACAGCTTGCAAATCCCTTTTTCCAGTCGTTACAGCTATATCTCGTATTTTTTTGTATGTACATATAAATACGTATATATATAATCATAGCAAATTCTAATATTTTTATAGTTAATCCGAAGATACAGCTCTATCGCTTGAGCCAATGAGTATATTTAATAAATTGATTTTTATGATTATAAGGAAGATACCATTGTTATCAAATCAATTTTTTATCTTTTCCCGCCTCGAGATTCTAATCTTTAAAAATGTACAGTGTTAATGACACGAGTATGCGTTTCAAAACAAGAAAGTTGTTATTTAATTGATCGATTGCGCGCTTTAGGACAACAAAGTGTTATCTAAAGAATTCCAAATAAAGTTAGTTCTATCCATCCAAAATATGAGATTTCTTTTCCCTTAATTTGCAGGTCAATTGTATTGGATAATTCCATCCACAATTTCTTTTCTTTCCCTAATTTCAGTAATCGCCATTTAAGGATGCGAAAGCAACGTCGTGTTTCACGCTGGAGAGGTCGAAAATAAAACGCGACGCGATGCAAATTGCGTGCAACTTTGTTGAAACTCTGCCAAGTCGAATCGAGCTTAAACTCGAAGCGCGTGGGATCTGTTCTATTGATATCCGAAGATGCGTTGTTTCAATATTGCTCGCCCGTAACATTCAGGAGAACGTGTTTCCTGAGTATTCAGGAGAGCGCAACGCGCTCTCATTGACGTGTATCTTTGAATCGAAATGGCGATAATTCGTTATTTATTTTAACTTGTTTATCGCCAAACTCGTTCGCGTCATTGTAGAGATCCATCAGGTAATCGACTTGTTTTATCGATGAAGATATGGATCTATCGAATAGGCAGTGCTCGATAACGCATCTAGAATTGTTATGTATACAATCGAAACTCTCAAATACAAACGTATTTGATCGTAATATATTTATAGAATGAGCACGTCCACACAAGTTACTGATATGTAAAGGGTATATATAATGAAGCGCGCTATAATAAAACACTCTCACGCAACACGTGGCAGACAAAAGGTACGTCATTTTCTTTTATTTTTTGTTCTTTTCTTGCATTACGCGAGAACATTGATTGCGTGTAAAGACAATCGCCCCTCTCACGTCGCAAGAAGTCTGTACTATCCGCACGCTCGCGTGCACCGTTTAATTCATCGCAGATACAGATTTCTATTGTTTGCGATTAGAAGACGCACCGTTTCTAAGAGGCGTTATAAGAGTCTCGTCAAACATTCTTTCGTACATCCTAAAAGATCTTTAAGGAGGCTAAGATGTATCTCTGGAATTGGGTTCATCCTCGTCATTTGAATTTTGCCGTTTCGATTTCTCCTTCGGAAACGTTATAAACAGTATCGAGAGGGGAGGGGGAGGGAAGGGGAGAGGAAGGGATCGAGATGCAAATTGCGAACGCGATGCTGTGGTACCGGTCGACAATTCCGCGAGACGAATGGAGTGTGGATGTAGATCGTGCCAGGGTTACGATAGCTTAGAATGCAAGAGTCGATGGGAATATTTCATCGACCTCGACCTGCCGCTCAGACACATCTGTAATATCGTCCACCGATTAGGACGCGACGCTAATTTGGTGTCATTATGGTCAACAATTTTTTTTCTCTTCTATTTTTCTCTCTCTTTTCCGTTTGAGATAGAGAGCAGAATTAGTTTGGCGGAGAGAGACGCGAGCGTGCAAGAAATCAAACTCTCCATTCCGCGGTGAAGGAAGGAGGGGGAAATTAGAAGGCGAGAAGCTGTGCTCTTTTATGTCTTTCTTTGTAAAGAAATGCGAGGGAGGTGGATGTACAATGCACGATCGTTTATATCCGACCAAAATAGAGCTATTTAATTTATGACGTTTAAGCGAGAGACGAGATTTTGCTATTTACAATAAATGTGAAATATTTTTGAATTTATCGTACCACAATTATCTGTGATGTAACAAGTTTCATTCAATTACGATCGCTCCGATACAAGAAGAAAGAAAAGCATATCAGTACTTCCATGCCTCATTATATCTCGTTATTACAAAGTAAAATATTGATATCAGTATTACGAATTATCAAGAGCGAACGAATTTAGAAACGCGTAACAATAAAATTAAATTCATAAAAATTTTTCGTTTGGCAATCCACAAATTTCGAGAGATTTAGAAATTTCCGAGAAAATTCGAAAATTTCTATTGAGTGATAAAGAAAAGATATTGCAAGTCCAGTATGTGCTTTTCTGATTTCTCTGATAAACTCCATGCTAATTTTGTACGGTGTCCCAGAAAATCAAAGAACGTAAATGTTTAATTATTTCTTAATTATCTCCGGTATCTTGCGCATTTTTTTTATACCGGCAGCGATTGTGCTTAAGAGTATTTCCGGTACGGCTCTCGAATTGTTAATAACGCGCAATCTACGTTTCGAGCTAAAACCACAATCTATTCTATTGCCACAACTCGTAACAAACTGTTCTTATATTACTCCGGTAACCCACACTCGACGTTCAACGATCAAGTGCGCGAAAGAGATTACGATCGCGCGATCAAAATCTCCGCCCGCGATATAGAAACGTTGGCGTAAAGAAATGCTACCGAAGTATCGCGATGACAGCCGTGCGAAGTATCTTTTCTTTTCATCGAGATATCCCCATATTCGCTCTCTTTTCTTCCTTTGGCTCTTTTCTTTTTTTCCACGGCGCGGAATGACGACGAGGATTGCGAACCGGTTCGCATCTATTTGGCTACTTTCTCGGCTCGCGTCGCGGCATGCCGCCCGCACTATATATGCGGAAACAATTTGATACACGTTAGTTCATGGAGTAATACACAGTCATGATACACAATAATAATAACATAATATATTAATATTGCGTTAAAAGAATGAGAAAAAGAAAGAAGGCAAGAGTATATAAAATTAGTATCAGAACAACGATAATAAATCTTCATAGAGCGACAGCAATAATATTCCGTCAGGATAAAGTGATTGAAATGTAGACTTAAAAGAAACCAGGTAACTTTTGAGGCATCCTGTACGTCAGCACGATTGCGAGTTCACCACGTCTCTCCCACTCGTGATATTACTATTGCCTGTCGTCGTCTTTCTCCCTCCGATCGCTCAACCGATCTCGCTGTTTTCTCGCTTTGTCTCCTCTCGCTCTCTTAACGCGCCGTCCACGTCACCGCCCTTCCACAAGCCACGATGCTTTCATTTTTATCGGTGACGAGCGAGGCTAGCGTCGATCAGATCTGTAGTATAAATCAAAGCGTCAACGAGAGTTCGGTATGAATAAGCGAGGACAATTAAGCCTACTTTTCCGTACAGTAGTCTCCTCCACATCTCTTTACAAACCTTGATTTCCGACAATGCTTGCATACGTTTAGATGTGAAACCTTGAGGCGTCGATTTGAAATACGAAGGACACATAGTATTATTGTTTAGCATCTTTCAGTAACCTTCGGAAAAACGCCTGACACTTGGCGTAGTCTTGGCACTCGTAGTTCTCTCATGCAATTAGCTAAACTCTTGTCGAGACGGAGCGATCCTAAAGTAAATTTGAAATTGTAACCAACTCTGGTTTAAAGAAAAGAAATAGAATAGGTGCCCCAGAAGGTAAATAACTCTTCATATTACTCCCTGAAATTATAGAAAAGTACATGTAATTATAACAAATATTTTCATTCGTCGTTTTTTTTATCTAAACATAATTTATTTAAATTTGTCATCCATAAGCGCACAGTAGAGTTCAAAGTAACTCATAAGGAAGTTGTAGTGATTTAAAAAGAAAGAATAATTTATAGATCATGTACAAGACTTACTAAAAATAGATCGGAAGCATTTGCATTTGCTAATAAAGCAGTACCGTTTAAAAATATAATAAAAAATATCAAGATACTAATAACATATATCGATTAAAGTTTAAAACTGTCTTTCATTTAATTCTGATGACTAATAAATTCAAAGAGACAAAAGTTGAAAAAGATCTAGAAGAAGCTTGAAATTCTAAGAAAATCCGCAAAAAATTCTCGATCCCTAGGTGCGAATATTCCATTCTTAAAAAAAAAAGAAAAAAGAAAAGAAAAGGAAGGGACAAGAAAGAGGTCGCGAGATTTTGGGGATTTCACAAGACATTTCCGGAGCAGAAGCGATCTAACCTGTCGCGCGCGCGTCCCCTAACCTCTTACGGCTGATACGGCACGGAGCGGCGTGACACGACGGCACATCCGCTCGGATAGGGAAACTCGAGGCGATTATGCCCGCATAACGCAAACGGGCCGGTCTACGTACGACGTTGTTTGTCGACGGACGCGCGGATCGGTGGAGGCAGGCGCGGCACGACGCGAGTCGGCGACGGTGATCGCGCGTAAAAATGAAATGGGGCATTGGGTGAAAGTACTCGCGGCAGCGGCGGCGACGGCAGCGGCAACGGCGAGCGAGCGTGCGAGCGAGCCTACCTCTTATATCAGATCAGTACGGTAGGCGCGCCTCGTCACAACACGCGTCTACCTCGCGTCGTTTTCTTCACCAGCGGGCTCTCCTGATGACCTCTCCGTCGACCGTCTTGTCACGGGAATCCTGTTCCGCTTCGCGCCCCCGGACTATGCTGCCGACCTGGTAGCCTCGTCATTATCCTACTCACTGACCGAGAGCAGCTTTATTATCTTTCTACAGAATGCTGCGCAACCTGTGGTCCCTTTGTCTTCTCTTATCGCTGGTCACTCTAGCTCCAGCGTTGGAGAATGGACTGGCCAGAACACCTCCGATGGGATGGTTAGCGTGGGAAAGATTCAGGTGCAACACAGATTGCAAGAATGATCCAGACAATTGTATAAGGTGAGCTCCAGCAGTGAAGATATATGGATAGAATATTTGGTGTTGTAAGCGCAAAAGAAATTATAGTGATTGGTCTCATCTGATTCACAGTGACCGTCTCTTCCGGACCATGACAGATATTGTAGTAGCAGAAGGATATGCTGCAGTAGGATATGAATACATTAATGTGGACGACTGTTGGTTGGAGAAAGAAAGGGATTTAAATGGACAACTTGTACCAGATAGAGAACGATTCCCATATGGCATGAA